TCAACGTCATCTCATCACCGGGTTTTTGTCCTCCAAATAACTCTATCATTCGTTATCTTAGTCATCACTCCCTTTTGTGATCATGTCACCTTACGCAATCCATTCATCTCTTTCTAGGTCTACCTCTACCGGTGTACCACACTCATAACTCATTTTCGTTACATGCGATTCATAAGATGCCCTTACCTTGATAACCTTTTACTCCTTAATTTCTGAAGCTCTGGAGCTACTCTCAAACATCCTCACATAACTATAGTATCTTAAAGAAGGAATAAGACGATATTAAAATATATAAAACATCTTTTTAAAAATCCGTATTGTACAGATGTATGAAATGTAAAAGAAAACAGACGAATTTAGTACCTCCTTTTGGGAAATCGGTCAAAAAAAGGGGAACCATAGGTATTTACAACGGAAGTTCACAAACCTATAAGAACATAGAAATGTATCGACTATCGCTTGTACAACATTCGTAGATAACGGTAAGTGCTACTGGGCTAAGTGCACCACCTTTTATTTATAATGAGGATAATATGTATGGAAAAGTTTGCATGTGTCAAGTGTAATTATTATCTGTAAGTTAATTGTAATTCATGGCCAGTCATTTAATTTAGTGTCGTTTTTTATATTACATCGACACTAAGGAGTTTCCTCGATGGCCACTTAATGACGTCACTTGCAGCACAGCTCTTCTGTAATTTAAAAAAATGTAATTTTATCTTTTAATTATATGCCGTCACTAATGGTCGGAAATAAGCTTCACATATCCTTCGGCATAATTCTATGTTGTTGTGGGAAGTTTTGTAGATTTTTTAATGTCATGTTGACCTGCCTGTTCGTTTAGCTTTGCACTAAATATGTCGGAAACAGCGGACATTTGCATATGGCCGACGCGACCTCATTGGTTATTCCCAGAATCAATATTCTCGATGCACGGCCGCCGAACTATCTGCGTCGGACATTTTCAATTTTGCTCTCAAGCTGACCGCATTCTGTTAATATTTCGCAAACAGTTTCGATTTTTTTTGTTGGATGTTTCCGAATAATTATCCAAAGTTAGTAGATTGTGCCATCAATTTTCTGATGTTTATTATTTTTATATAAATGCTTCTGTTAAATCAGAGATTTCTAAACGTTTTTCTGTTGTTTTTTTAAAGTTAGTATAAATTCAAATATAATGGCTCAATGTTTGTTGTTTTCAATACATTATTTCTATTTCTATTCGCTATCGTATACTTAAGTTTGGTTTTCCGTGGATCTTAGATCTTGAAACAATTTGGTACAGCCATGAGAACTTTTAATTAATGTATTAGATCTTAAAGTTTGGTAACCCCAGTCGTTAACATCCTCGTATACGTCGTAAACGACTTTGGTGAGGTAAAATTGTCGCTTTACGATTCAGTTTACGTCGGACCTAAAATGTTGCTTTTATTCTTTCATTTAGGAATGCTTGCGACATTTTATGCTCCTGGGATTTAGACTAATGCTACCGACTTTTGCACTTATATTTATTAAGTCGTAATTCATGAATACAATGTTCAGGTGTTTCTACCGCTGAAGTAAAAACTTATTGTTATCACTATTTTTTTTCAATAAGGAGAGAGAGAGAGAGAGAGAGAGAGAGAGAAAGAAAGACTGTACTTACGTGAATTAAGAGCCATAAAATCGCTCCAGTCCCTTTAATTTTAAACTAGGTATACCAAATTGTTGCTTTTAGGATTGAATAGTATTTATTTACGCTCCTCGTTTTTGTTATTAAAATTACAGCTTACATCTTAATTCTTTAGAGGTTCAGTAATATCTTTAGTGTAAAACCAGCTGTCGCCTGTAAACTTTGTTAGCGCTGAATATTCCCGTGTGCAAGGTAACAGCTACCTTCCAATCAAAGTCTCGTCCAAATCGGTCCACCCGTTCC